AGATGGACTGGGTGCCACGGGGAGTGGGTGGGTCGGACTGACGGACTGGGTGCCACGGGGAGTGGGTGGGTCGGACGGACGGACTGGGTGCCTTGGGGAGTGGGCGGGTCAGGCGGACGGACTGGGTGCCCCAGGTGGTTGCAGGTTCTCTACAGAATTGGCTGCCAGCCTGGTTTTCCATTGCCCCGCACATCAGGGAAGCCTGGGCAAAATGAGCTTGGCAAAGGGGGTTGACAGTCGCTGCCCTGCAGCGGGTAGAGCTCCAAGTACGTCTCACCAAGAAGGCGCTGGGCAGAGCCTCCTCTTGAGGAGCAGACCCTGACAGTCAGTCACTCCTGGGTAAACCCCTTTGGCTTCACTGGAGTTATGGTGGGATGAAGTTTGCCTAGTTAGCTCCCCCTTTGCTCATCTCCATAGCAGGAGACAAATAACAGCGTTCTGTCTTGTGTGTCGGTCTGGGAGAGCAGGCACTGTCTCAGCGCTTGTCTACATTACCGCTTACGTCAATGTAACTTACGTCGCTCAGGGGTGTGAAAAAGACACACACCCCCGAGCAACGCAAGTTACAGCGACCTAAGTGCTGTCCTCACCAGCGCTATGTTGCCGGGAGATGCTCTCCGCTGACATAGCTTCCGCCTCTCATGGAGGTGGAGTAATTATGCCGATGGGGAGAGCGCTCTCCCGTCAGCGTAGAGCATCTTCACCACACGCTACACCGATGGTAGTGTAGACTAGCTCTCAGCTAGGCGCCGAGTGCAGCACTCCCTGGAAGGGTCACCATTTCCAAACAACAAGTAACTGCTCAGGCAGAGACCGCCTGAGCAGGCTGCCCAGAGCAGAATGAGGAAGTAGCACCTCATCTTGTGTTTTCGGTTCAGGGTGACCAGGGAACAGCTCAGTAATGGGAAAAGGCTTCTCAGACCTGCCCTAAACTATCTACCTAGGGCCAGGAATTAAATACTAGGACCCAGGGAGAAATAGTAAACTAACGATGTATCAATTTGGGGCTTTTGGCTAGCTTAGAATGAGGTGCAAACTGCTGCACAGCCCACGTCACAGCAGACAGTCAAACAGCAGCTACAGCTGAATATTTGATTTTAAAATTCCATTAGTTGTTTGTGGGGCTAGTTTTCAAAGCTGTCTAAGTTTTCCTGTAACACCTAGCACAGACCTTGGAGGTGAAAGGCCAGCATTTTAAACCACAGCTAGAGCAAGACCTGTGGGTGTAAGTTTGTTCAAGCAACTACTAATCAAAGTGTAGTCACAGTGGTGTTACCCAGAGGCTGTGTTATTCTGCAAATATTGCCTGTCTCACTTACTAAGTTTCAGGTTGTAAAATGCAGCCTTGTGCTAAGGCATTTAGCAACACCACTCTGCAAATACCTGGCTCCCTGGGACTGCTGCTGTAATGAAGGGGCAACGTGTTTGCTTGGTCATCTTAAGCCATTTCGTTTTCACACACATCCCCCAGAAACCTGAGTCAATCCCACAGTTATTGTAAACCTGAGTCACCCATGAGCCCTGCAAAGTGTAGCTGTGAGCAGTTTGCACTGGAAACGATTGTGAGGAGATGTAACAAATGAAAAGGTCTCACACTTGATTGTTTATATATGGAGATATACCTATTTCCTAGAACTGGAGGGGACCCTGAAAGGTCATTGAGTCCAGCCCCCTGCCTTCACTAGCAGGACCAAGTACTGATTTTGCCCCAGATCCCTAAGTGGCCCCCTCAAGGATTGAATTTACAACCCTGGGTTTAGCAGGCCAATGCTCAAACCAAGTTTATGTAGGCTGAGTTGTATGCCTGGCTTGGCCCCACAGGGTGGTCTGACCGGAGTGGGGGCAAAGGGCCCACCTGCTGGAGGGATGCAAGAGGCTTTCAGCAGCCTACTGTCCACTAGAATCAGGCTCATGGAATGCCTGTGTTTTGCTGCAGGCAGAGGAGGCTGGTACCCTAGCCCTAAATCTAACCCTGAGGTCACTGCTTCATGCCTGGATCCAGAGGAAATCAAAACAGTTTGATGAATGGAAATCAGGCTTTTCTGGTTTTCAGATTTTCACCAGAATTTTATAGGGTTTTGCCCATTGATACTTGAGTATTCTCTGAAATGTTTTAAGTCACCAGATGCGGTTTTCAAAAGTTGCTGCATTACAGACAGAGAAGGGCCATCGAGCTGAGTGTACAGTCTGGCTTTTCTGGGACAAATGCAGAGGATGGCATCATGATTAGCCAGAGAAGGTTCCTCAGCCTAGGGATCTATCCTGTCTTTGGTTCACTTCTGTTGCACTGAATTTTGGAAGTTTAATTAAAGCAAAACTTCATCTCCCAGAAATTGTGGGACAGCTGGAATCCAGCTGTTGTCACATTCCCCTAAACAGTGGGGACCAAATTGATCACTGGTGTAAGTAGGTGCGACCCGGTTGACATCTGTGGGGTAGCACCCACTCACACCAGGGGGAAATCAGGCAAAGAGAGAAAGGAGAACAGTCTGAATGAGCTTGGAAGGTGCCTAGACTGCCCTAAGGTCACATAGCTGTATGTAATGTAACTGTCCATAGATGGGCCCTAGGTAGGGGGCAGAAGCCTGTCCAACACCTCTGGGAATTTAATAGCCCCCACTACTTCCTGCCAAGGGTAACATCACTACTTTAACACCTGCCTCATAATTAATGATTGTACTTCTATGTGTTAGTCTCAGTGATGCTGTACTCGTAACACTGTGAGTCTGGCCCTGTATTAACCAGCAGCTCTGCCTGTTTGATAACAGTCCTGGAGCAGAGGTGACAGCGCAGTGGGAGTGAGTATGGAGCCTGGAGGAATTGTAATGGGGAAGAATGTATTTTGAACTCTCTCATCAGTCAGTCACTTGTATACATCTCACACTGAGATGATCTTTTCGTCTCTTCCCTGTAAGATAAAGCCACGGACCCAAGCATCCCTGAAGAAAACTGGGAATGTATCCAGCGGTTCTGTGACCAGGTGAATGCAGACCTGGAAGGGTAAGCTAGACAGAAGGGCCTTTGTATTCTCTCTGCACTGTGCATCTGGCTCTGAGCTTTTCTGACCTCAGAGGGGGAAGGATAATCTGTAAATTGCAGTTTTGTAAGACCTTAGGAAGAATGGCAGGGAGTGGCTAATTACTGTGACTCCTGGAGATGCCTGTGTAAGAAGTGGGTAGATAAAGAGTGGTCAGATTATTGCGACATTGTGGTAACATGGCAGATCTAGAGAAAAGGACTTTTCATTTAGCAGGAGACTGCACCTTCTCCCCCTCACAGTCTCAGAGGTGGTCAGATCCCACCCTTTGGTGTTCAGAATTCCTGTGCTATGAGTGGGATGCTGATTTCCTCTGGGCTGTGTTGCAGAGAAGACCTGAGCATCTGTAGCTATTGATGTGGCTTTAGCTGCTGGTCTCTGGGAGATGAGGTCTCCACCAGGACTTTCCCCACCCCTGCAGCTCATGGGGTTGTCTCTGATATATGCAGCAAAGCATACACACTGATGAAGTGAAAGGGCTGATAAAGGTCCCTGAGGTAGCATTTCTGTTGAGCAGATGCACATAATTTCTGTCTATAGAACTTGCACTTGTTGCCTAATGAACATTCCTGCTGTGGGAGACTTTGAGACAAAGGGCCAGCCGTGATGAACAGCAAAGTGGAGCACTTCTGCTAAATGCTGAGTGACCCAGTTGATGTGATGCTTCTGCAAAGAGTACACTGCCCTCTCCCTCCCCACTTTTCCATTCTAGGGGACAGCTCTTAGAGCAGCTGTAATCAGCACTTGCAGGACACTTCTGGCTTCCTTGCCTGCATTAATCTCTTCCTTACTTCTTGTGTGTATAACCCCAGCATTGTGCCGGGCGGGAGGGTTGCTGTGATGTGGTGTATCTGTGAACGTGGTTGCAAGAAAAGTAGCAGTGTTTGCTTTTCTTCAGACTTCCTGCCTGATCTGACTTGCTGCTTCTTCTCCCTAGCCCGTCCATTGCACCCAGGCTGCTAGCACATAAGATACAGTCGCCTCAGGAGATGGAAGCTCTTCATGCCTTAACAGTGAGTGCTTCCATCAGCACACAGACATGGGCTGGGATAAGCTGGAAATGTTTTTCTTGTGATAGATTTTTGTATCTGCCTCTTTTAAAAAAAAATTAGTGTCTCTCCCTTTTAACCCTTCACTGTGTTCAGATTTGTAACCCTGTTCCTGTCACTCATCATGGTCACCAGGATTCCTTGTGCATTCACAGCCGTAAGATTCCCATCATCCCAGTGATTCCATATGCCTCGATAATCCCCTTCATATCAAATATTATTTCCCAAATTACTATCTAATCTGTCCCAGCTCCTCCCACCCTTCTTTCCTGATTTACAGCACCCCTAGCTATTCCAGTCCTAGGCACCTCTTGAGCAGAGATTTCTGGTTCTGCCAGAATGTCTTTTGCTTTTCTCATGTGAACAAATGTCTGATAGGGACTAGACTGAGGCTCCGCCCTCCTTTCCTACTGGTGGCCAAGCGCAGATATGGAGGCTGGCTCCTGGAAGTTAGAAGCCATCACACGTCAGCTCCCTTTGCCACTCAGTCCCTGAAGCTTACAGCCTGAAATGTTGTGTGTGGTGATTATGACAGGACATGTCTTAGCCATTGTCAATGTCTGCATTTATACCTATGAAGCGCTGCCAGTTTGCTCTTGCTCATTCATTTTAAACGGGTGAAAATGAGTGATGGATTTGGGTAAAAATGACTCGTGTTGCCTAATGAGCAGTTTCACCGAGGGTACTATGCGTTATCTGTGTCTGTGCTGCTAACAGGTTCTTAGATCTTTGTCTTGATGGAAGAGGTTTTAAAATTGCCTGGTGAGTTTGTTTTATGTCTCATGCTTTCCCCCCCCCCCTCCTCCCAGGTGCTGGAGACATGTGTGAATAACTGTGGTGAAAGGTTTCACTACGAAGTGGCAAAATTCAGATTTCTGAATGAACTGATAAAAGTGCTGTCCCCAAAGGTATGTGCCCAGCCACCCCAATCTAGCAGGCAAAGTGCACTTTTAATCTCAGATGAGAAAATGTGAACTTCATACCACTTCCACATAAGAACTGAGTGTGATTGTTTTGCTGTGCTTCCCTGGGACAATGAATGGCAGGGGACAGGCTATGAATTTCCCAGCAACAAGGATAATAATTGAAACGTCTCTTTCGAATTCAAAGGGGTAGGGGAGATGGGTACAGAGTTGGGGTGAAATCTAAAAGCATTGAACAACTTGGCGGGCGCCACGAGAAGGCCAGTGTGAGAAAGGTGCTTGGTGTGCCAGGGCCCAGGTCGCGTGGTAGTAACTGTTGGTAAATACAGTAGGTTTTATTCCTGGTTGTCTCTTTCTGGGGGACCTTTTCTTCTTTTTACTGCTCTGAACTCCACTGCAATGTGTCAGTGACCCTAGAAGAGCCAATCTGCTCTTGTCATTCCCCAGCTTGCACTTTGCAGGGTTGGACCTTCGCCCCGCACAGTAAGAGGGGGGACTCCATACGGGTGGCAGTGGGAGGAGTGGCTCATGGGCCACGTTTTGGCCTTGTATCATAGGCCCTTCCCCCGCCTTCCTGCTCTCTCTTCAAATTTCAGCCTTTGGAACTGTTCTTCTTAGGCTTTTGTCTTCAGTGCCTACACACAGCACAAGCCCATGAGAACCCCACGGGTCCCTCTCCCCGGGAACATCCCGAAAGCCCAGATAGGGAACTGTGAACTCCCAGTAGGCACCTGGAGACTCTGCCCTGATTTGCTTCAAGTGAGAGATTGGGGGGACTTAATTTGAGTTCTGCAGGGTGCTATCTCTGCTGCTCATCTCTCTTTCTGGGGTGTGCGCTACACCCTGCTCCCACTCAGCTTCCTGGATATCGTCTCCACGTCTCCTGGGAAAAGTAACTGCTAGGAATAGGAATTTTAGCTTGGAATGCTAAAGAAGCTCAATGTGCAGAGAGAATAAGCTCTCCAGTGCACTGACGCCTCCTGTAATAGTGGGAAATGGAGAGTAATTTACATCACTTACTGTGCATGATCATCACCTCCGTTCTTTGGATCAACTAGTAAAACTGGGACCCTTTTCTCAATAATTACAGGGACACTGTCAGGTTAAATATCATGGGCTTGGTTCACTGTCAGGTTAAATATCATGGGCTTGGTTCACTGTCAGGGTAAATATCATGGGCTTGGTTTGCTCTGTCTTTCCCCAACTCTGTGGCAGAGGACGACCTCCATTGGTTTCATGGGAATGTTTAAATCTAATGAAGCTGTTTTCATTGTAGTTAAAAACCAAATAGGTTAAAGCAAATGCTTCTGTTGAGTTTGGATTTAGGAAAACCTGGTTTTAGTGGTGCTCCACCAGTTCAGAGCTGGGGTAAAGTCATGAATCATAGAATTGTAGAATCATAGAATCTCAGGGTTGGAAGGGACCTCAGGAGGTCATCTAGTCCAACCCCCTGCTCAAAACAGGACCAATCCCCAGCTAAATCATCCCAGCCAGGGCTTTGTCAAGCCTGACCTTAAAAACCTCGTTTAAAAACCTTGAAGAATCAAGCCTCATATTTTAAACACCAGGTATCTGTCTCTGGATTCATAGTAATGTCAGATTATTAAAACTAAAAGAATTTTAAAACTCACATTTACCTTTCACCATTCATCCTGGTTGGTTTTGCATTTTATTCAACAAGGTGTTTGGATACTATGGTGATCGGGACCTACAAGTGTCTAGAAAGATAAAACTTGGGCACTGAAAACATAGTGTGCAGTTTCACTTTTGTTCATGGTCAGTTTTCAGTTTGTTTTGCTCTGGCTCTGGCCAGGTTGTAATGCTGAAGGTGGATGTTTAAATCCAAGCAGGAAACTATTTTCAGTGTAATTAAAAACAAATGAAAAAGAATACTTTATATTGATCCTGGATTTGGTAAACCCTGACCACAGCAGCACTGAATGTGCCATCATTTTTGTAGTGATAGATTATTTATATAAAATTCAACACATTTAATAATATAACACTTACATATATAGCACTGTAATTGTATGTGGAATTGTATCTTCTGTAAGGTGTACAGTTGACAGCACTCTGAATAATGCATTGAGAACCCATTTTCACCCCAGTCTTTCAGCATGAACGTTCTGGGCAGAATCCCTGACTCCTGTCTGACAGTAACTTGCTGGTTGTAATCACTTACTTTTTTGTTTTCAGTATCTTGGAACCTGGTCTACAGAAAAGGTCAAATCGAGAGTTATAGAAATAATGTTCAGTTGGACGGTGTGGTTTCCTCAGGAAGTTAAAATCCGGGATGCTTATCAGATGCTGAAGAAACAAGGTTTAGTTCTGTTATTTCAGTTTCCTTTTGTCACGTCAAAGTCATGTGGATTCAAACCATGAATTGCTGAGTAATTGTTTCAAAGCTCATCCCATGTGATTTGACTTTTCCATAAATGATTATTTGTACAAGATGAAGGTTTAAGGGACAGATTTACAAAGAGATTTAGGCACTTAAAGATGCCAATAAACAACTAGTGGGATCAATAAAAGCACCTCAGGAAGTTAAATCATATTAGGTGCCTACCTGCAAACTTATAATAATAATAATTAATAAATCCCTAGCTCTTACATAGTAACTTTTCATCAGTCGATCTTAAAGCACCTCAAAGTCTTTTAATGTATTTATCTTCACAACACCCCTGGGAGGCAGTGCAGGGCTGTTATGCCCATGTACAGATGGGAAACTGAGGCACAGAGCAGCTAAATGACTTGCCCAAGGGCACACAGGAAGTCTGTGGCAGAGCAGGAAATCTAAGTGAAGTTCTTGTCTCCCAAATATTAGGCTAGTGCCATATCCATGCCCATCCTTCCTCTGTATCTGAATACCATCCTAAATAAATAACTTCCTAAAGACCATTGTGCCTACACAGGTCTGTAAATCTGGCCCTGACTCCTGCTACAAGAAGCTTCTGCTTTAGTTGTAAATATTTGGCTACCCGTTGGCCCTGTGCTCTGGCAACAAACATCTTTTGTACGCTTGACAGGCACATTAAAATGCTGTCCTGTTGTGAAGCCGTTTGTGTGGTTGTGTCATGTGCTAGATACCCTTGCTCTCTTTCAGTGAACTACAACGCTGTCAGAGGAAAGCTTCTATATTAATGAGATGAGGAGGGTGTGGAAATGCCCAGGGATTGGGGTGGCTAGAATCGGAGAACCCACAACTGTTAGCTATTTGGTAGGGCTAGAGAGAAGTAGGTTAGTATAGAACGTGCTGCAAGACTAGGTGGGGTAAAGAAAGTGCTGCCTTATTGGATGGGTGGGAAGCATAGGGCAGACAAGGTGTCTGTTCACAGAGCTGCAGTGGGGAGACCAGAGGAACTGCACCCAGCCCTGAGAATAAGAATAACCCAGATCTGCCAGTGGCAACCAAAGCCTCTTTCAGATGGGAGTGTGAGCAGCCGGAAGCTTGGGATTGTCTGTCTCAGTGCAGGGCTGGCACTGATGAATATGGCAGCTGCCCAGACGGGGTGGTTATACCAAACTTGCGTGGTCCCTTTGTCAAATCCTGACTTGTAAGAGTATTTTTTCAGAGGCCAGGGCTAGTGTTTGATGGGGAGGGTTTAGATTTGTTGGGAAGCCTGCACTAGGCAGGACCTGGAGGTATCAGATTAGGTGGCCTGCAGAGGTCAGGTGGACAGTAAATCAGTCAGCTGGCTGGATAGCACAGATTTTCACAAAACCAGACAGCAGCCTTGTGTGTGACTGGCTGCAATGTCTCCTGCATGCAGCAGTGGATTCAGCTGGGTAAGATGAGGCCCTAAAACATAAGCCCTTGTATCAGAGGCCCGGTATGAGACCTAAAGCCTGAACTAAAGTAATGGTCAAGACTTTGCTAACATAAAGCAAAGTTAAGCTGTGAGCCAGAGGCAGGCCCTGCTCGCAGAAGCTGGCAAGAAGAAGGCTGATGTTTGCAAATATACACATACCTAAAAGGTACTGAGCACTAATAATATAAACATATGCCAGGATGGTACCAGAACAGTCCGGTACTAGCACATTCCACATAGATAACAAGGAGCAGGCTGACCCATCCTAAAGACAGGGGCAGGAGGGTAATATGATGGATAGAGTTGTTTTGTTCCAATCAACATGTACAAAGTGAGAGGCGGCACCCTAACACGTAGAGAGGTTGTACCTCTGTATGTCAGGAGTGTTGTGTAACTTGTTTGTACCTGTGTATAAGAATGCACCCCTGAAGAGTTGTCTTTGTCTGGCCTAGGGGGCAGGGGAGAATCCCGCCACTGACTGAACCGGTGCATTGTCGGGGGCTCATATTTGTAGTATGTCCTGTAGAGTCTGCTGGAAACTATTACTGTGATTCGTTTGACAATAAACCTGGCCAGGTGCCTTCGTACCTTATCGGAGTCTATGGTCATTGGGGGTTCTCTCAGGTCTGCTGTGCCAGCGATCTGCAGAACCGGGGCATCACACAGAGGGAACACATGCACACAGTCGACTGTTTTCAACATTGAACAGAGTGGAGTACCACACCGGTGACATCTGATGACATCAGCCTGTCACGCATGTGTCTAGGAGGGAGTGAAAGAGAATTTCACAGAAACTCTGAGGCTGCCTCTGCTGTGTGTTCATGTTAGTGAGCTGCCTGTGTTTTGGCTCTGGGCTCTGGCAGATAACCCTGCAGGGCTAAGCAGGCTCAGAAAGGATTTCTGACTTGCCTAATTCTGAACTAATGGAGAACAGAGCCCTTTCTGGGAGATGGCGCCACAGATTCCCCTCTAGGGAAACCACAAAGCTTTTATTCCTCATTCCCCCATCTTCCTGTCCTGAAAAGCCTCCCCCACCTTTTCCCTTGATCTCAGACAGCCAGGTGAGTCGTGTATTTCTTGTCTTAGCATGTACCTGCTTTTGGGGTACATGCTAAGCCCACTGGTTGCTTCTTCCCCTCATTCCTTAAAATCGTGTCGGGGCACTCAGTTGCCAGCAGACGTGGTAACGGTCAGCAGGGTCTGGTACCCGGCTGAACACTGTGCAACGCTGTATGGGGGCTGGTAGAATCTCTTTCTCTCTCTATTCATTTCAGGAGTCATAAAACAAGACCCCAAACTCCTAGAAGACAAAATTTTACCACCTCCTTCTCCAAGACCTAAGAATTCTATTTTTGATGTTGATGAAGAGAAATCCAAGGTAAATCTCATGTTTTCAAATCTGTGTCCTCCTCTGGCTAGGTTGTATTGTCAGGAGAGTGCGTGTGGTCGTATTTTGGGCCTTTACAGTTCCAGGGAGAAGATCTCCTTAGAATAATGCTAATACTTAGCCTTTGTGCAGCATGAAATGTGCTATCTAATAAGTAACCCTATCACCCTCTAGTCAGACAGGTGAGTATCATTATCTCTGTTTGGAGACGGGGAAACAGAGGCACCGAGGATTATGTAACTTGCCCTATGCCCCAGAGAGAGTCTGTGTCAGAACCAATATTCATTTTTCTAAACATCTGGCTTGTATTTGTCACCTGTTTTCCTTACGCACTGTTGACTATAGTTTCCTTCTGTCCTCTTGCTGACATGTGCAGGCAGCAATAGAAGCTCAGTGAGGCTGGCAGCCTGTGAGGCAGCAGTGTGACCCTGACCAGATTGTGAGACTTGAGTCCACATGTCTGTAGGGCTATAGCCCAGCTATGGCAGTAGGGCCCTGGACACATCTGCATTTATTTGGTGAGTGGCAGCATTCTGGTGCCTGGGGCTGTTGCTCACGCTGTCTGTCTTCTAATGGTCTCCACTCAACAGCTCTTAGCAAGACTTCTAAAGAGCAACCACCCTGAGGACCTGCAGGCAGCCAACAGGCTGATCAAGAGCATGATTAAAGAGGTAGGCACCAGGAGAAGCTCGCAGCTCCCTGTGTCAAAGCAGCTGCTGCTGGCAGGTGTGGGGAGAGGCGGGAGGGGAGGGGAGGGGAGGCAGTTTCACCGTCTGGTTTTACAGTGACACTCTGAAGCACTGTGTGCGTAATGTCTGCCGCTGCTCACAATGAAGCAGAGTTTGGCACCACTTGCCTTTGGCAGCTCACGGGTTTGCCTGGTCAGAGAACAACTTGTTTAGCTATAACAGAGAGGAGAGTTTGAAGACTGCGCGGCACAAGCTGGTGCAGCCGGGGTAACATTCGCCCCGTGGAGAGGACCAGAACAAGGCCCATGCGTTCTGGGGAGTCTGGCTCAACCCTTGGCACTTCAGGTGCTGCCTTCTGACGGGGTGAATTTCACCCACAGCGTCTAGCACTGAGGTGTGTTGTGTGTCCTTTCTAGCACGGGTCTCTTTTTTATGGAATACAGGTAGAAATTACTGGCCAGGCAATGGGATATTGAGGAAGTCCAAGCTATCTGCGTAATGTGTGATGAGGTCATTGGCTAAACCAGGGATTTCATCCCCCTTTGCCCTGTGGTTTATTTTGTCTCAAAGGAACAAGAAAAATCTGCCAAAGTGTCCAAAAGACTGAATGCAATTGATGAGGTTCACAGCAGCGTTAAGCTACTGGGTGAAATGCTGACCAGCTACAAGAGGCAGGAGTTCTCCAAATCTGACCTAGAGATTCTGCAGGTGAATGACTCCTCCTGCCTGGAGGCTCATTGATTCGGTATCACTGGTGGTGTCTAGCAGCGACGGGATGTGAAAACTGGGGGCAGAGCTGTCTATTAATCTGTACATGTGAGTGTTGTGACTGGCAGAGGGTAGATCCCCCTCCCTCGGGGTGCGGTAAATCCCAGGGAATTCCCTCCAGGCCAGGTGTGGTTAGCCAGATACCACAAGACCTGACTGGATGTGCTGAAAGCTGGAGATGGCTGTGAGCTCCCCAGCTCCTGCTGTAGTCTCCGCAGTCTCCCTCTCTCAGCCTATTGGCCACATCGATTTCACTTCTGAGTGTAAATCGTTCTAAGTTAAGGAAACATCTGAGCCAGCTCATGGGACTCGTAGAGAAGCTGCCCGGCCCCCAAGTATCCACCAGCACCACAAACCTATTCCAAAAGCAAAACGCTTTGGGGGGTTGAATGTATGGTAAGTGGAAAGATCTCCTCCCTTGGCTGAGAGCAACCCAATGAGATGTTGTGTTGGGCTGATGGGTGGTGGGTCACTTTCAGACCGCAGTGAGAGGCTGTCCTCAGAGTGGAAATGCTGGGCATGGTGCTGCTCTTGGGAGGAGAGTTACAAATTGCACATTTGCTTCCTTTGGTGAGTGCCAGTTTTAGTGGCCATGATGCTTTTACTATACGTTGAATTCTAAGATAAATCCACAAACTCCTGGGTTCCATTTCTTTTAAGTTGGACAATGTTGCACAGTGAAATTTGTCCCGCAAGACCCATCTGTGTGTGTAAAAGGGGTGAGGCTAGTTGGGAGGTTGGATGGGAAATTTCCTACATCAGTCTCTGCACCTAGGATTTATTGCAAAGGCTGCAAGTCTTTCATGGAAGTCATGGATTTCATGACTTTCAGGGACTTCTGCAGTGGCTGGTACAGCTGACCCCAGGACCGCCCGAGCAACTGGGGCAGTCCTGGGGCCAGCCGCACCAGTCGCTGCTTGGGCGGCCCCAGGCAGCTAGTCCTGGAGCAGCAGCGGTGAAGCCCCCTTTCCCCCCCAGCAGCAGCGGCGGGGCCCCAGGCCCCCCCCAGCAGCAGCGTCCGCAGGAGTGCCCCCCCTGCCCCAGCACCTAAGATTTAGCTCGGGGTATTTTTAGTAAAAGTCACAGACAGGTCACAGGCCATGAATTCTTGGTTACTGCCCGTGACCTGTCCGTGACTTTTACTAAACATACCCATGACTAAATCGTAGCCTTACTTATTGCACATTTGAATGGGGCAGCAACAAGCTGAACTATCTTCTCTGGCGTCGACAAAGCCACCGTCTGGAACTGAGCAGAAAGCGTGGTTGCATTTTACCAGGGCTGCCTGTATAGCTAACTTCCTTTCCTCTGTGGCCCCAGAGACTGGGCCGGGGTTCTGAGGACCTGTGATCTGACGAGCAAATAGCCTGACTCTTGTTCTCTTCTCCAGAGCCTGTTTGAACGCTGTGAGAAGCTCAGGCCACTGCTCTTCCGCCTTGCCAGCGAGACGACTGACGACGATGAGGCTTTGGGTAGGTAACAAAATATGCTGCTGTTCTTTCCTCGCCTCCTTCGCTCCCCATCCTACTGTCTGAACTCTGGGTATTCGTGCAAGCAGGGTCTGTGTGACTCTGCTGACGTTACTGACCTGGCCTACCCATTCTAACCAGCAGCATCCCTGCTGTTCCACTTCAGAGCCCCCCAGCTTTGGAAATGCACCTCCTTCCTCACCTGCCGCACCAGCCCCTGCTGTTCAGCCCCCTGCGCACAGGAGCGAACATATCAAAGGCTGCGATTTCGGTGAAGTGTAAACTATCCCCCCCAGCAAATAGATCAAGATCCCCAAACTCCCTGGGCTTTTGAGGACAGGATCTTAACCAAGAGCCATCTCCATCTTGGGGGTTCCATTTAATGTCTCTCACCTTCGTTTTGGGTTGTGGTGATAGCGCCCCCTGGAGTCAGGAGGCAAGTAGGCCCTTGGCTCTGTCCATCAGGACTCTACCTTCCCACCTAAGGATATCCTAACTCCCTGTCCCCGTGTCTCAGACGCAGGCACTGTATCCCTGTGTCCAGTGGCGGATTAATGTTTTTGCTGCCCCTAGGCCCTGAAATAATTGCCGCCCCTGGCTCCGCCCCGACTCCACCCTTTCCCCGCCCCCATTCCAACCCCTTCCCCAAAGTCCCCGCCCCAACTCTGCCCCCTCCCTGCCCCTATTGGATCCCTTCCCCAAATCCCCGCCCCGGCCCCGCCTCTTCTCCCAGCGTGCCATGTTCCCCCTCCTCCCCCCTCCCTCCCTGCCCCGTGAAACAGCTATTTCGTGGTGCAAGCGCTGGGAGGGAGGGGAGAGAAACAGGACACGGCGGTGTGCTCGTGGAGGAGGTGGAGGCGAGCTGGAGTTGGGGGGCAGGGCGGGGAGGGGAGCTTCTCCGTGGGTGCTTTAATTTGCCGCCCCTGCAAATTTGCCTCCCTAGGCCTAGGCGTTGTCGGCCTGTGTCCCACGCACCCAGCACTTCAGTCAGGCTCAGATCTAAGCAAACCAGATAGTAACAAAGAAAGGGGCAATTTAAGGGAACATGTCCCCTGTCGCCCATTCCCAGTTTCTGGCATACAGAGGCCAGGGACACCATCCCTGCCCAGCCTGGCTAAAAGCCATTGATGGACCTATCCTCCATGAACTTAGCTAGTTCTTTTTTGAACCCTGTTAAGGTTTTGGCCTTCACAACATCCTCTGGCAAGGAGTTCCATAGGTTGACTGTGCGTTGTGTGAAAAAATACTTCCTTTTGTTTGTTTTAACCGGAGAATCCCAGCTCCAGGCTGCAGCCTCTAGGCAGGGCTCACAGGGCATGTGTGTGACATCACAGCATCTCAGCTAGATACACGTAGGTCAGTCTGAGAAAGAAGCTGGTATTAAATGGACCTATCCTCAACCCCTGCGACAAAAGCTGAGTGGCCCGCTGGGCTTTGCCCGGTGTATGGCAGGTTCCCAGACACAGACTCTGGCTCTGTCGTGACCAACGTGGAATGTGGCATTCCATTACCCTCCTGTTAGAGTATTCATAATTCGTTTCTCTTCCTCTTTCCACAGCGGAGATTCTCCAGGCCAACGACAAACTCACCCAGGCGCTCGGCTTGTACAGGCAGGTTGTAGTGGGCCATGACCAGGGCAGGAGGAGTTCGGTGACCAGCTCCACTGATGCCTCAGGTAGAAAGGATCCCACAGGGTCCCCCACAGCTGCAAAGGAACCTGCTTCCTGGCTGGTTTACGGTGTCTGAATGTGGCTCGGCTGTTTTTAATTTATAAGGGCGGAATCACACTCAGAGGCTTGCTGTGTGAAAGGGGTCACTAAACCAAAAAGTTGGAACACCACTGAGCTGGTGCCTGGGTCAGAGTGGCCGGGGCGTAGTCCCAGAGATGGCAGCCCTTTAACGCTCTCTCTCACTCCCAAAGCACCTCAGTCCCCGCTGGGCGGTACGAAGAGCTACACACTGATCGACTTCTCCGAGCTGGGTTCCATGCTCAAGTCTCTCCCGGAGCAGGGCGTGAACACGACAGCCGCGGCTCAGCACGGCAGCACCTCCGCCTGCCTGCTCGACGAGGAGCTAATGTCATTAGGTCTGTCCTCGGGGCACAGGGATGGGGTTGTCCTTGATCCTTAGGGAATATGGTGTATATTGCAGATTCGGTAGCTTTCTTTTTTATGTTTGTCACGACCCACCCAAAGCCCTCTGAGCCAGGGCAAATGCTGGGAGTTTTCAGAGAGTCCAAGCACAGTCCAGCTCTGCTATTAGACCTTGTAGGTACTTGGCAAATGGGAATGCCCTACCTGCTCTGATTGGTCTGTGCTTTGGTTACCTACCATAGGTCTCAATGATTCCCCTGTTGGACAGAGACCGTCACCTGATTTCAGCTCCGTACAGGTGAGTGGTCCCCTAGTAGCGTAGTCCTCCATGTACAATCGACAGTTTTCTGCTGACCTAGCCTGCCCCAACATGCATTAGCTGCAGGTTCCATTTCTCCCCCACACATGCATTTTTTGGGGCATAGAATTACAAACAATAATGGCTGTCCCCCATTCCCCCAATGAGAGGTTGGCAATAATGTGCTCATCAATATTTGTGGAAGTCCAGCCACTGGGAGAGTTGATTTGGTAAGAGCACCACTGACCCCTACTGGACAGAATCAGATCTACAAGTGCTCTGATCTTCCTGCGAGGGAGAGATTAGAAGATGCTCCGAGCCCCAATATTGTAGACAGCTAAGGGGAGATTCTCCTTCAGCTTAGGTATAAAGGCACAGCCTTCTGCTACAGAAACAGGGGCCATGTGCTCCCTGTGCCTTGTAACACAAGAGGTCAAGGGACACTCCTGGGGTTTGTAGGTGTCTGCGGATGCAGAGCCACCAGGATGGCAGGCTGGGGAGGCATTTGTGTCCCAGCCCTAGTCTGAGAGTGGCAGTGTTGTGGGGTGGGACTTGCCACTACATTGCCTATAATTGTCCCGCTTCAGCCTGTGTTTAAAAGCAGGCTGTTTCAGCAGGACGTGTGTGGCTTCTGCTGGTGTTCTGTAGCTGCTCAGTGAATCAGGACCTCTTTATTTGGCAGAGTGCTGGGCACAATGGATATAATCAAACTGGAAATGCCGATACCCATCAAACCGTGGTGCTGGGGGACAGCTGGCAGGGCGGCTCGCCAGAGAGGAATGCGCTTCAGGATTTGGCAGGGCAGCTGTCTCCGCCTCCTGTGACCAGGCCATTTCCAACGTAAGCAGACTGTACAGCACTGGGTTGGAAAATGGGAGTCCTCTGTTCTGGCATTGAAGTACAGGAAACCCCTCATCATCTGTTAAACTGCAACCTGCCAGTAGAGGGCAAGCTGCTTGGCGGCTCACTGTAACTTCGTCTCGTTGGATACAACAGTCATTTCTAGCTTTGCTGACTGGCAAGCTCGGGTCTTCAGGTATAGCCAGCACCACGTTTTCAAGGAGTTCTAACTTGATGGACAATCCCAAGGGTTAGTAGCAAGCAATGAAAAAGACGGGGACTTTTCAGCTTGGAAAAGAGACGACTAAGGGGAGATATGATAGAGGTCTGTAAAATCATGATTGATGTGGAGAAGGAGTGAATAAGGAAGTGTCATTTATCCCTTCATATAACACAAGAACTAGGGGTCAACAAATGAAATGAATAGGCATCAGGTTTAGAACAAACAAAAGAAATATTTCTTCACACAACGCACAGTCAACCTGTGGAACTCCTTGACAGGGGATGTTGTGAAGGGCAAAAGTATAACCGAGTTCAAAAGAGAACTAGATAAGTTCATAGAAGACAGATCCCTCAATGGCAAGTAGCTAAGATGGTCAGGGATGGTCAGTTCATTTCCTGTGAAGCATCGGGCACTGGCTGCTGTTGGAAGACAGGATACTGGGCTAGATGGACCAGTGGTCCGTCAGTCACACACATACACGCGCGCGCACACAATTTAAAATTGGGTCTTTTTCTAACACTGTAACTCAAATAACACTTGAAGCAGCGTTCTTCAAGTTTTGCCAACATGTTCTTCAAGGCCATTGGAGAAAATGTCACAATTGTCGGGCTAAATTAATCTTCCATCAATTTTAAGGCCCAAAAGGCCCATTGTAATGATCTAGCCTGACCGCTGGCCAGGGGATTTCACACAGTGATTCCTGCCTCAACGCCTTACTTTGTGGGGGAGCGGGAGCGTACTTTAATCTTGCTCCAGCATTACAGGGAAACTGAAAGCAGGGTTTGTAGTGGAGCCTGGCTGTGGTAGTCAGGGAGAGCCACTGGCAGCACCCTGTAACTAAATCTACTCCCTGCGACAGAGACAACAGTTCAGCCTAACGAACACTGAAGCAGCAGCATCTTCAGTGTAACATAGCGCTGCCTGCCTGCCTCCAAACTTGACAACAACTCCCGTAAGTCTTCGGACAGTAGGTTCTTTGGGGATGATTCTGAGGGCAGGGCAGATGCTGGAGAGGACAGGAGGAGATCCCATACGTGATCTCGTCAGTTAATGTCAGTTATCTGAATGTTTTTCCTTCCAGGAACTTACCACCAGTGCAATTGTCCGCGGCAGGCCTTCCGAGCAGTTTAGCTGCAGACGCTTTGTTCTCTGACCCAGCCTATGAGCTGAAACCTGCTGCTCCTTCGCAGCCAGCCTCCAATGATGCTGCTTTGGCAAACCTTTTTGTCCCGCTCATTTCAATTACACCGAGTAAGTGCACTGATCTCTGTGTCCCAGCTCTGCTCACCGCAGCTTCTTTATGGCATTCAAGGCTGGGATTGCTCACGGGGTGGGGAAGGGCAGCTGGACAGATTTTAGGACGACTCTTCCTAGTACTTCTCGTGTCTGAGCCCGGCCCTGGAGATGTACTTAGCCCTCCCTACCCATGGCCAGGTTGCCTCCTGTTCTCACGATACACATACGTGAACTGTACAGTGGGCTTTGAAACCTGCAGGTGGCATCATCCTCTGAGCAGCTCTCTGCCGGGCCTGGGCGCCAGAGTTTGCCTTAACTGATGCATTGGCAGGTTCTCTCTTCCATAAGCAGAGCTCTGCTCTTTTCCCTCTGCCTTTTCCCTGCGATACTGGGCCCAGCGCAGCAAGGTACAGCTGAAACATGTCAATGTCATGTTAAAGGCCCAGCCTGTTACGGCTCCTTGAGCTATAAAGGTAGACTCAAAGGCTTCGTTACCTCCTTGCCTGCCTTCCCTCTTTTACGTGAAGGACTTCAGCAGACTTTGGAGGGCCTGGACAGTGAAGTCCCAGCGGGATGGTAAAGTCGGAGCTGCTGCTCTCCCAGCCCTGACTTTAGGCAGGCTCAGGTTCCCTGCGCTCTGTCACAAAGGAGCAGCAGGACAGGTGCACACAGACACCTTTGGGCTTTGCACTGACCTGTGATGTTACTGAGGAAGATGACGGTTTGTGAGAACGTTTCCTTTTCTTTGTTCCTCATTTTGTCTCTCTCCTGTTCTCTCTCCGAAGGAAGGGGCGGTTCCCACTCCCAGGTGGCCTTTGCATCCTCTCCTGATTCTCTGTTTTGTCTTTGACAGGCAGTATCCCTCCAGTTACAGTGTATGATCAAGATGGTTTCAAGGTCATGATCCATTTCTCCAGAGACCTAGCCCCCGGGCGACCAGATGTACTGGTGATGGTGCTCTCCATGCTCAGCACATCCACTCAGCCAATTAAGGACATTGTGTTCCAGGCCGCGGTCCCAAAGGTGAGAGCGGGACCTGTGAAAATTATCCTGAATAAAAGCATTGTCGTTTCTGGCTTAGGGGTTTCCTCGAGCACTTGAAATAACGAAGTAACCAAGCTTCTAGTTTCTGGTAATGGATTCACTAGAGGCTTAATATGCATCTCTGCCCCCTGCTTTGCAGGAGACCTGGCCTGGGTGCATTACTTAGCACTGAGGATAACCACCTCGTGAGGAAGCCCACATCCTGTCTTATGCATCCGAAGAAGTGAGGTTTTTACTCACGAAAGCTTATGCCCAAATAAATCTGTTAGTCTTTAAGGTGCCACCAGACTCTTTGTTGTTTTTGTAGATACAGACTAACACGGCTACCCCCTGATACTATCCTGTCTTTGTACCTGTGCTCAATTAAAAGCCTTTAATTAAAATCCTACTGAAGGGACATGCATTGGCTTAGAGCCGCTGCATGCCCCCCTCGCTGTACTGGGCCTTGGGGAAAGCCCAGGTATGTTATACACCTGTGTGAACAGAGCCGTGTAACAGAGACTCCAGGAGTTTGACACACTGGGTCTGTGCTCAGTTTCACCAGGTTTATGCATGTGCCAACCCCCTGGAGTCTCTACCTTTGTCCCCTGGCGCTCTCTGCATCGTACTGCCTCCCAGTGTCACTGGGATGTCCCAGCCCTTGGACTCCTGTAGCTTTTTGCTCCTACGTTCAGCCAGCCCCTTGCACTGACCACGCCCTCCAGAGACCACATGCAAGCCTCTGTCCTGAGCTTGGGGGCCAGTTTCAGGCACCCAGGCACAGAACCAGGACACCCCTGCCCCCTGGGTTTTAAGACGATAGTAGCAGCTTTCCTTCCTCTGGACACTGAGGGTGGTTTGCATTGTATGGATCCATTGCATGCTCCTCTCAGCACTTACTCTTCGCTCATGGTGCACTGGTCGTGTAGTGGATGACAAGACATGTGGCTGGCATACCCAGACTGGCTCTGAGTACTCCCAGCCCATCTCCAGTGGAGATTAGAATGTGTCTTGTGTTCTCTCTCCTGGCAGGTTATGAGAGTAAAGTTGCAGCCGGCGTCTGGTTCTGAGCTTCCTGCCTTCAGCCCTTTGCTCCCTCCAGCCGTGATATCCCAGGTTCTGCTGCTCGCCAACCCACACAAAGTACGTGGCAGTGACTCTGCTAAGCGCTCACCTTGGACGTGTGTATGGGGAACTGATGCTAGGAGAGGCAGGGCCATCTGGGTTCTGCCAGCAAGGCAGCAGCATTGGGGAGCTCTCCTGGCAGCGCAGAGCGCTGAATCCTGTGAGAAATCGGTGATATCTGGAGCTTTTTGTAGGGCAGTGGGGGGGATGAGCCAGGTGAGAGAGGAGAGACTCCAGCTGATGGGCTTGGTGATCTCAAGGTGCGGGGGGGAGAAGCAGGCTGTTGCGGGCTGCAGCTTGAACCCCTTCACTGCCTTACCCCGGTGCAGCCTGTATGCAGTGGTGGCACCTGGTGGGATCCCTGGTGCTGACATGCCATGGGAACGCTGGTGGCTCTTCCTGCTGGAACATGAGGCAACCCTAGAGGAGTTCTTCATGCTGGCCAGGCCCTAGAGGGTGACTCTGCGGTTAATGATTATGGGGTAGACCATGGGTTCCTCAGCCATCTCTGCAGCCAGAGAAGGAATGTGGCCAGGCGCAGCTGTCTGGGAACTCCCTTGGGTGGCCTGTGGGACAGCTCCCTCCCCCCCCGTAGCATTACAACTGCTGTGTCCCTTGCTTCAGCGTGTTGCCCTCCCCTTGCAGGACCCATCAGTCCCTTGGCATTAGCAGAGGTGGGGTGGAGGGGAGCAGACCACGTAACCTGCCCGTGTAACGTTCTTCTCTCCCCTGTCCAGGAGCCCATCCGACTGCGGTACAAGCTAATGTTCAGGCAGGGCGAGCGGCCCTTCAGCGAAGTGGGAGAGGTGACTGGCTTCCCGGAGGCCGAGCTGTGGCGCGGGAGCTGAACTGCTGCTTTGATGGAACGTGGACATTGCCGCATCGCCTTAGTGCAGCCTTGGGGGGAGCCGACCTGGGAGGGGCAGGGGGAGGCGCCCGGCACCTGGAAAGCCGGGGTGGGCTCCATGCTGGCTGCTCTCCCCGGGGCCCAGTCTCCCACTCCTGCTCCGGTTTTCCTTGCGGGTATCTGGTAGGAGGGAGTGCAAACCAGCTGCTCCTGCTCTTGGCCTTACCGCAGCTTTCATCCCTCCGGTGGCTGGATGCTCCTTTTCTACCAGCATTTCTGCTTTCTTCTGCTTGTTGAGCCATTTCGCCCGCTGGCCTCTTCGAAAACAATTCTCCGATTCAGGCCCTGTTTGCTCCCAGGGCGGAGCAGCTCTTGATGCTGGTGTCCGCAGTGTCTGGGGATCGGTGCTCTGACCTCGCAGTGATGGGTGTGGTGTGAGCACCTGGGAATGGAACGGAACGACTGTGGCTTGAAACAGGGCCGGATCCATAAGCCAAACCTGTTGGGTATTGCCACAGCCTCAGCACTGCAAGGGCCTGGGTCCTCACCCTTTACCCTGGGATCCTCGGTGCCTTCTCAGCCTCACCGTGATTCCTGAGGCAGCCTCCACGCTGGGCAGCATCCCAGCAGGCAGGGCCCCCTGCAGCATGGGGGTTTGTGTCTATGCAAAGCTTAAGTTTCCTTCCTGGTCACTCAAAACTTAAGGGGAAAAATGTATAAAGAATTTCACTGCTGCACAAGTGGAAACATGGATCAAGTACTAAGGCATCTGAGCTGCTCCACGGGGAGAGCTTGTCTGGAGAAATCACTTTGTACATCCGTGTCTAGATAAACCTCTGCTTAGGCCAGCTCTCCCCTTGTCCTCTGTGCCGGGAAGCAGGGGAGAAAGGACCCCCTGTGCTGTTATTAGTGGAACGTGCCCAGCCAGCCAGTCCAGCGTCCTGTGCGTCGGGTTTTATAAGATGCTGAACTTGCACATTTTTTAATCAAAGTATTTTTGACTCCTGGTTGTCATTGTTGCTGCTGGTGACCGAAATGCCATAGCGTTAGTTATCCCCAGCTTGGTGGAGTTTGACCACACAGGGGCGCTGTTTGAGCTTTTTATTACTTTACAGAGCACTGGATTCCCAGGTACAATCATAATAAACAGCATTTGCTTTGACAAGTGCTGCTTGCTGGTGGTCCCTGAGTTTGCATGCAAGGTCTCTCTGCCGCTCAGGAGAATGGCTGAGTGAGGGGGACGAGGGGCACTTGGGCTTTAGCCTCCTCATTTTATTCAAACATGTTCAATGGCACTTCACAGCCAGAGCTGAAGACAAGGCTCCTGCTGCAGAGATCATCTGCTGTAGCGAGGAACGGGCAGAGGAGAGAGAGCTGGAAGCAGACAGCAGATGTCTGGTTCACGACAGGATCTGTGTCTGAGCAGTGGTTGTCAGGTACGGAGCTTGTTAAGCCATCCTCAGGGGCTGGAAGGGCCTACGGAGGAGAGGACATGCTCTCCCTGGCTCTGTGTAGCATATTCCTCCTGTCCTCTCTCTTGCCATCTCCCTCACGGCTGTGCCTCATCACACCCTGGCTCCTCCCCAAAGTAGCCTGGGGTCTGTCTCAGGTCTCACACCCAGTGCATCCCTGGGATATCCAAGCTTCTCCCTCTGTGCCACTCCCCTCCACCACCTTGCAAGGCCCTCCCTTTTCGGAGGTCAGTGTTAATATTGTCACTGAAGTGCCCATCAAATCCCTGTGAAAGGTGCGGTTGTCCCAGAGCACTGGGTCAGGCCCTGCCCAGCCAACTTCTGGTCTGGCCAACAGCTTCGGGCTTCAGCCGCCACCTGCCTGGGTCTAGAAGGGATTCCTCCCCCCATCTATTTTGGGTTGGTTTGGGGTTTTGTCATCACCTTCCTCTGATGGCCACAGCTGGAGATGGGAGGTTGGACAGGGAGGGCTCTGAGCATGCTCTCTCTCAGGTGCTGGGCTGGCTGGTTCTTGCTCGCATGCTTAGAGTCTAACTGATCACCACGTGCAGGGGTAGGAAGGAATTCTACCTCCACCCCTGGTGAGCTTGGCAGTGACCTTGGGGGGTTTCGCTTTCCTTTGTGATATGGGAGTGTGGAATCACTTGCCAGGATTATCTGGGTCTATCTCAATCACTTCCCTGCCATTTGCAGGGACCTTGGGTCCAGGGGCCCCTGGGCCCCTCCTGCTCTCGGCCTGTGGCACATCATAGTCTCGTCCCTTGTGGGCTGTCATAGTTTGGTCTGACTTTGGTTGCTGGGTTGCGGGTGGTGGGCGCTGCTGGTAGCCTGGGCTATGCAAGAGGTCTGATGGGATGATCTGGCCTGAAGAGCTATGCTCCCCCAGTTTACTAGCATGTTTTTCCACCTGACTCTTCCTCTGTCCCCAAATTCTTTAAGGCACAAGCACTTCACAACTCAACCCCACCCCCATTAACCACGTTAGAGAGCAGCCGCCTAGTGCCTGTGACACTTTCCAATCATCCAGCTTAGCAAATACCCGGTCTGAACACCCCATCCCCACGGTAACTCCCCACCACCGGCCAAAGAACATGCTGTCAGCTGTTCCGATTTCCCCGAGTACGTATGGGGGTGAATCTCTCGCTGTTTATGCCTCTCCCAGCCTCAGGATCCTTGCGGCTGCTCTTTGCCTTCCGTTTCCGGGCCATAGATGTAACTGCTTTTTGCAGAGCAAATAACTCTGGGCAGGCGCCCAGCTAGGAGGAGAGGTCCCAGAACTTGGCACTTGGGCCAGTTACTGGGCATGGACTTGCAGTTGCAGTTTTTTTCTTTTGGTGCCATGATGGTGGGGAGGGGAAGCTGAGCCATTGGAATTCAGAGCAGGACTCTGCCTCCTGTCTGTCTGTGTGGCTGGGCAGCCAGCGCTCAGCAATTGTGCTCTTTGTCGCTGTTGAGCAGTAACGGGCATGGAAGAAGCAGCCCAGTCTTGCAAAGTGAACTGGGGAAATCCTGTGCCAAAAAGTTAAATATTCTGAAAATAATAATAATTCTGTGCACAATATTTTAAAATTCTGCAAAATTCAGCGTATTTTATTTGTCAGAATAATATAATCACACTAGTTTCAATTATTTGTGGTCATTTATTTCAAAATACCTGTCAGCGAGTATGTAATACAGACAACAAAAAAAGATTCAGGAAATGTTTTTTTTGACAAATAGATTCCTTACGAGGCATATTAATACAGAACTGAGTAATAATTCATTTAAACTGCACTACAGAACTGTATTTCCCGCACCCCTCAGAAGCAGCGCGAAGGTTTGGGGGAGTCAGGGGTAACGGAGGAGCTGAGGGAGAGGGAAGTAAATTGCTGGGAAGGAGACGGGGTGTGAACCTGGAGGGTTGTTGGTATGGGTGGGAAAAGTATGGAACAGGTTTTTTTTGGGGGGGGGAGGGATTGTTAGGGAACTTCCCCCATGCAGACCCTGGCTTACCCCTAGCTTCTCCCATTCAGTCAGGCACATCTGCCCTGTCCCATGTATTACTGCATCCCCATGTGTCCCTCCACCCCCACTCAAACACCCCCTCCCCCCATCCCTATGTGGCCCTGTACCACTCCCCCATCCCCGTGTCTCTGTGCCCCTGCCTAGCCACTCCCTGTCCCTATGTAGCTCTGCACCCCTCCCCCCATCACCATGTGGCCCTGCATCTCCCTCCCCCCTGTGCCTCCACTCCCATTCAGCCCCTTCCCCAGTCTGTCCTCCCCCACTAGCCCGTATGAGCCCCTGTCTGACCCCTCCAGCACCACATGCTGTCTATCTCCCCATAGCCCCTGTCTCTTGACCTGGCCTGACAGGCTCTCTCTCTTCCCTCGCTGGCCAGGAGCTGCTGCTGTGTTCTATCGCCACAGCACCCTCTGGTGTGCAAAAGGCGGAACTGCAGAAGTTATTTTCTGCTGGGAGCTGCAGCTGTTCTTGCACCACAGCGCCCTGGGGTGGGCAAACAGCAGAACTGCAGCAACATTTTGTCAGAAGCTTTTTTCTGCATAAAAAAATAATATGCACGGCTCATTAATTATGCACATGCGCAGTAGTGCAGAATTTCCCCAGGAGTAAAAGTGCAAGTGTCTGGCCCCAGCTTTGCTTGTCTGCACACGGATAAATGAGCCCACAGACATGCAAAGTGTAAGCTAATAAATTTGGCCTCCCTTCCCATTTGTCAGTTTTCTCTGAAAGTGCAAATTACCCAGTTTCTTTGCCTTCTTTGGGCAGATTCAGTAAAAGCAGTTGCCCACAACTGGCTGAGTCATGGCTGGCTCTTGGTGGGACCGCGAATGCTCAGCGAAATGAGACAAGGCGGGGTGAGGTAATAGATTTTCTGGGACTAGAGTTGCCAACTTTCTAATAGCACAAAACCGAACACTCTTGTCCTGCCCCATCCCTGAGACCCCACCCCTGCTCGCTCTCCCCGACCCTTACTCACTTTCACTGTGCTGGGGCAAGGGGTTGGGATGTGGGTTAGAGTGAGGACTCCGGCAGGGGGTGTGGGCTCTGCGGTGTGGGTTAGAGTGAGGACTCCGGCAGGGGGTGTGGGCTCTGCGGTGTGGGTTAGAGTGAGGACTCCGGCAGGGGGTGTGGGCTCTGGGGTGGGGACAGGGATGAGGAGTTGGGATGTGGGAGAGGGCTCTGGGACAGGGCAGGGGTGCAGGAGGAGAGTGAGGACTTGGGCTGGGAGTGCAGGCTCTGGGGTGGGGACAGGGATGAGGAATTGGGATGTGGGAGAGGGCTCCGGGATGGGGCAGGGGGTTGGGTTGGGGTGAGGGCTCCGGCTGTGGGCTCTGGGGTGGGGACAGGGATGAGGGGTTTGGGATGTGGGAGAGGGCTCCGGGATGGGGCAGGGGGTTGGGGTGTGGGTTGGGGTGAGGGCTCTGGCTGTGGGCTCTGGGGTGGGGCCAGGGATGAGGGGTTTGGGATGTGGGAGAGGGCTTTGGGACAGGGCTGGGGTGCTGGAGGAGAGTGAGGACTCGGGCTGGGAGTGCAGGCTCTGGGGTGGGGACAGGGATGAGGGGTTGGGATGTGGGAGAGGGCTCCGGGACGGGCAGGGGGTTGGGGTGAGGACTGCG